GGGGGCTCCGGGCTGGGGGCGGGCTGGGAGCGGGAGAGAGAGATGGAGACATTAAAGGGAAAGAAGTCTCGAGAGAGATGCAGTCCCGCCACACTCTGAGGATAAGGAAGCCCACCCAAAGGGCAGATCTCTTGACCATTAACGTCCCCGTATCCGCCCTCGCACTGGGCCAGCACCATCCCCTGCTGGCAACCTACGGGCTGCCTCGATGAGGAAGGGCCTAGGGTGCATGGTGGCCGGGGAGGCAGGCCACTGGCTTCAGAGGGACTGACAGCTCCCGGGAGGGGACCGAGGGCCGGCTTGGACCTTGGATTTGGGAGTTCTGTTGCCCAAGTTTGGGGTGCATACCTGTCTGGTAGATGCTGCCAGGTAACCGCTCCTATTCGAAGGCTGAGATCCTGGAGGGGGATTGTGGGGCTGCAGGGGAGCTGGGCAGGAGCCCCCTCCTGGGCCCACACCTCTCGGACAGAGGTCCGGGGCCCTGGTGCCTCCACTGGGGAGGAAAAGAGAGGCCAAGGGGAGGGACCATGAGCCAAGAGACTTAGGAGTAGAGAAGGAGCCTGAGGAAGACCGGGGTTCTGCCCTTTCCCTGCCAACCGGGAGCCTGATGAGAGGCTTTGGGGCTGAAGGACTGCCCCCAAGCAAGGCTTGAGAAAAATCCACCCAAACTACGAACCCTGGCTTCTGTGTAGGCATCCGGAGATCCCTGCTGACCCCCTCCTGTGGGTCTGGGTCAACCCTCTCACAGCGTCATCCCCATCTTACCTGGAGCCACCCACAGCAAGGGCAGAAGCACCAAGACCAGGAACTGGGCTTCCCCCATCTCCCCTTAGGTCTGGGCCGGGAGGAGCCCTCCAAAGGGAAGAGGTCAAGAAGGAGGGAGAGACAGCCTGACAAAAGAGAGGTTCTGCAAGGTGGAGGGTGGAGGAAAGGAACCTACGAGAAGAGGGACAGGGACAGAGACCTGGAGGGAGAGGGGAGGAACCGATGCCCAGAGGCTGGAATCCAGAGGAAAGCTGGCCAGGTCAGGCAGCCAGGGGCTGGGGAGGGGAGGGAGAAAGGTAGAGGCAAGGTGGATGTCTTGAGCTGGGAGGCCCGTCTGTTCCCAGGGCCCTTGCCCCTGTCCTTCTGCCTTCCCTTCACCTTCCCCACTTCCCCTCTGCGTTGCCCCCCCACACACCCCAGGGCTCACGGTTTCGCTTCGCAGTGGAAAGTCTGAGGGGGCTGATTCCCAGCAGCATTACCCTCCACCTCTGTGGTGGCTGGCGCTCCCCTTGTTTATTTCCTCAGTCCTGGGTGTCCCCACCACCTCCTCCACGCCCTCCCCCACCCTCCTGACTATTCCCTTTCCCAGGACCTTCTGCCCTTCTCTACAAGCTGTAAACTGTTCCCCCGTCAGTTCCAACCATCACACTTTCTTCCTGGCCAGCCCTTTCTTTGGTACTCATCCCCTCCCTCACTCCTTCAACCGACTGTAAAAGATGATAGGCCTGGAAAAGGGCGCCTCAAGCCCAAATAGCTATGAGCTTTCAGTATGGGCTAGGCAGTTTTGGACACTACCTACAGCAACTCATGAAACCTAATGTTATCCCCATTGTACAGATGAGGAAACTGAGGCAGGCTCAGAGACGAAATAATGTGGCAAGGTCAGTTACGGAGTATGAAGACAAAAGCTATGTGTAGTCCTGACTGTGGGTGAAGTATGGGTCTTTAACAAGCTGGTGGTGTTAATAAGTCACACGCACCTGCCCCAGCTCAGACCCCTGCTCCCAACCTAGAGGTTCTAGATTGGCAAGGGTGATATGGCGAAACGCAGAAATCCTGCAAGAGACCAGACTCTAGAAAAACTGAGGCAGAAGTACTAGGGAAGTTGAAACCCTTGCTTCCCACCTGGCCCAGCCTGAGGAGCCCAGCAGGGAGTGATGGAGGGCGGGTGCCAAGAACTTGCAGCCAGCCTGGGTACAAGAGGCCCTGGAGTTCTCTACTTAACCAGGTACTCACACCTCAGTGCCAGGCAGAGGCAACTCACTCACTCCAGGTCCCAGGAAGTTGAGACCCAGGCCTCCAGCCTTCTCCCACTGCAGGGGTGGGACTTCCTGTTTCTGAGGCCGTCTCTGCCTGGTTCAGCACAATAAGGCTGGTAGCTTTCCACTGGGCTCAGCAGTGTCTAGACCTGGTGTGGGCTAGCAGGGAAGTGCGCGTGTATTGCTGGGGAGGAATTCCCCAAGAATCCAAAATCAGGACAACAGTCAGTTCTCAAAGAAGCCGTCCTCCGTGTCCGCCCTGAAAGTGCTGACCTTGTCTTCCTTAGTGGTGGGTAATAGGAGGGCACTTTTTAATAGAAGGGAACGGTCCTAACAGAATGTGACATAGCCACCCTCCTCCCTCTGCCCTGGGAAAGCAGGAGACAGGTTAAAAACAGAAGCGCGACCATTTCTTTATTAAATTATACAAAAAGGGGAGGAGAGGGGGGCAGCTGTGGGTCTTGGTCCCAACCCTGGCCCCACCCCGGCCTGGCGCTGTCTGAGAGAAGGGGATCTGAAGGAGACCCAGGGATCAGGCAGGGTAGGGATGGGCAGGACAGAAGGCTAGGATGCAGAGGTTCCAAAGGAGAAGCTATAGGAGGAGGGGTGGGAGTGAGGGAGGAAGAGAGAAAGAAGAGGGAAAGGGAGCAATTGGGGACCAGCTGGGGAGCTCAGATGGAACAGGTCAGGAGGTGGAACAATGGCAGAGTGAGGATGGAAGGGCAGTGTCTGGAGAGGTGGACATGAGAAGGCTGGGGAGAAAGAGGGTGGCAGCTCTGATACAGGGCCCAGAGCAAGGAATCAGGTGAAGGTGGCTGCACTGAACTGTTCCTGCCCCCATCTCCAGGCCTTGAGGGGCCTCCTTCCCCAGCCCATTGGCAGGGGGCTCATGCCGATGCCCCATTTTCTGTCTTCTGCCGCTTGGGATCAGCTTCATCCTGTGGAGAGGGAAAGAGCTGGTAAATGGGAGAGGGACTTCCCCGTCCCTGCCCTGCTCCAGCACCCGCCCATGCACCACAGGGTTCTGGGTCCAAATCCAAAGGGCTCCCAGCCCCTGCTGCATCCCTGACAGCCCCTCAGGCCCCACAACCCAGCCCAAACCTCCTCTTCAGCAGCTCTCTTCAGCGCCGGCCCCTCGTCGTCATCATCTTCTTCTTCCTCATCTGAGGAGCCAGAAATGGGTCATTGGGGAGGCAGGGAGCCCCAGCAGGCCCCAGTGGTCGCCCTCAGCCCTACATCAGGTCTTCAAGCCCACCCTGACTCTGTTCTTGCCCCTCCCCACCTTCTTCTTCTCCTTCATCCTCCTCCTCTCCGTCCTCAGCGGTTTCTTCTTCTTCCTCCTCAGCTCCATTCTCCTCCTCCTTTGGGGACCAGAGGAGAGAGCAGTGTCAGGCTGGCTGTTTGCCTCCCACACCATCACCACCAGCGGCCAGGCGCACTGGGAGGGCCGGAAGGGTGGGGCAAGGTGGGCACAACCCCCAACCCTGACCCTCAGCACCTCCACCACTTCTTTCTTCCGCTCTTTCCGGCTCGCCTTCTCCTCCACCTTCTCCTTCTTCTCCTTCAGGTCCTGCAAGAGAGAAAGAGGTCACCTTTCTCTCACCAGAAAGCATCTGCAGCCCTGAAGTCCCTCTAGCCCTGGTTCTCCCTCTGCAGTGAGCTTAGAGGAGAGTGTGAAATAGAGAAGGTAGTGACGGCAGTTTAGAGTCAGAACAGAGGTTGCAGGGGCCTTAAAGGCCACAACAGGGCTGAGATCAGACACTTTCTTCCCCACGTCTCAGAGAAGATGAAAAGTGATGAGGAAAGAGAACTAGGTGGCCAAGGTAACTGCTCACCATCCCCATCAAGTTCTTCCAAACCTCACTGGCTGCAGAGTTCAGCTCAGCAAAGCAAATCCCCTCCATCTGCTCACAGCCCTGATGCCCCACCCCCTCCCACTGCCTGCCCAGCTCTGCCTTTTGTCTACCCCTAGGGCCTTTTCCTGGTACTCTTTCCTGGGCATCCCTCCCAGCTTCCCCCCAGCTACCAAAGCCTTTGTTTCCCTGTCTGTGTGTCTGTCCCCAGAATCCTCAGGCTCCTACTTGGGCAAACACCACAGGAATAGGGAGAGCACTCTAGCCCAATTCCTGGCACCCCCTCTCACTTTTTCCCACTCCCCCGTCTCTGGGAAAAAAAAAGTTCAAGTAGTTTCCACCTCCCTAAGGCCTGTGGTGTGTGCACGGTGTGGTAGGAGGGTAGAAATAACTACTTCCAGGGGATGTAGGTCAAGTAGGATAAAACAAACATGGGAGAATGTGGGACATGGAGATGAAATGAGAGAGACAAGTTCCGTGTCTGGGGTGGGACAGAAATACAGATGGGGAAAGTACATGTCTAGAGGACACCCCCCCCCCTGCACTGCCCCTCTTCTTCACCCCAAGATCTTAGCAGGCACACCCTAATGTCCTTTTCTGATGTGGCAGAGGGAGATGCTCCTGAGAGTCCCCCTTCTCTAGACATACCTGCCCTTCCAATTTTGATCCCTCCTCTTCCCACCCCACCCTTGGCAGGCCCTGAACGAGTGTCTCCTTATGATCAGATCTGGCATTGGTGTGCAACTCTGTGTATCTGATTCCGTGTGGATGGAAGTTTTCTGTGTGAGTAGATCACCCTGGGAGGGTGTGTCCTTTCTGGAACTGAACTGGGATAGGAGGGGGTACAGGCTGGTGTCAGTGGTTGGCCTGGAGGGACACTCAATTCCCTTCTCCCTTTCAGGGAAGGGAGAATGCTTGACCCTCTCACTCCAGCTAGGTTTCCTCATGTCACTTGGCTGTCCTCATTTCTTTGCCACATGGTCGGTATGGCATTTCTTTCTTTTTTTTCAAATTTATTTCTGATGAGCAAGAAAGACATTGATTTGTTGATCCACTTATTTATGCATTCATTGGTTAATTCTTGGATGTGTCCCGACCAGGGATCAAACCCTGGCACGACGCTCTAACCAGCTGGGCTATCCGGCCGGGGCAGTATGGTGTTTCTACTACCTGGTGGGCTTGCTCCTCCATCCTGGGCCTGGAGAGCGGCCGGGCTCATGAGCTTCTCTCTGGGCCCTAGCACCAAGTCTGTGTGCCCCTGGCCTGAGTTTCCCATCTGGGCTTAAGGGGGGAGGGACATTACGAGACCAAAGTCCAAGGGGCCGGGCCCTCTCCTCCCTGCTCTGTCCTTCTGGTCACTGTCCTTCCATGATCCCCTTTCCAGGAGGGTATGACCCAGGTCTGTGCTAAGCAGCCCTCTGGCCCATTTACTCAACACGGGCACACGCTGACACGGGCTGACACCAGTTCACACACACAGCTTCAGAGGAGCCCCCGCGCAACTCAGGACACATGGCCCGTGTTTGGTCTTCTGGCACCCTCCTGAGACAGACAGCACCAGAGCACGGTGGCGTCCTGGGCACGCACAAACCAGCAGCACGGCTCCAGGCCTCCACATGCACACATGTAACTGACACAGGCAGTCCCACACACTCGCTGAATTTCAGACATACAAAGACACCTACTCAGTGAAGTCACGTGCCACCACACCTTGCCAGATCTCGCGCACAGCCCCCCTCTTCCACGGCCTGTAATCCCACGGGGTCCCTCCTTCTCGCTTCACGGGCCATCAGGAGGCCCCCGTGACCTCCTCAGCCACCCTCCACTCCCAAGGTCGGGCTCCCAGCCCCCAAGCCCTGGCCGAATTAATTGCCCAAAGCAATCCTCAGCCAGTTCCCTGGAGAAATTAAAGGCTGGAAGAGAGGCAAGGGCAAACGGAGGGGCCAGGGAAGGGAGCTGACGAGAGCAAGGACGGCTCCATGCAAGGCGGTGCAATGCTGAGCAGAGGCTTTTTCGAAGGCTATTCCTATCCCGCTTGTGGGTTTTAGGGACTCGGGGTTCTTTATCGAGTGTGTGTGTGTGTGGGGGGGGGGGCTGAAAAGGTGCTACGGAGAGAAAAGACAGCGGACGGCCACGGGCAAAGGAAAGGATACAGCCGGCAAGATCGGAGGGAAACGAGAAAATAGAGGCAGTGGCTGTGCGAGGAGAGGAGCAGGCAGCAGGCGGCCTCGAGGGGAGGGGCCGAGGAGCGGCCTCCGGGGAGAGTCCTGTTTACACCGGAGGGTCTCACGCCGCGCAGCCCAGGAGGTGAAGTCAATTGACACCCCGGGGGGCCGGGGCTGGGGCCGGGGC